AGTTTCTATAAAAGGTTACACACCACTCACGCTATACGTGCCATGGCCGGGAACCGGTTCAGCGGTGCGGTGCGGTGCTGTGCTGTGCTGCGCTGCGCACACGCCGTGCCTACATACACGCGATAGACGGTCACGATGAGTGCCAGCGCCTTTGCCCCGACCGCAGCCGTTCCGAGGTGTACAGACGTGTGTAGTGGTCCATGCAGCGACCTGCGATGCCGCCATCACCAGCGCCAGCTGCGACGTCCAATCATGAATGCCGAGTGGCTTAATAATTGCCGAATCAAGGCCGGGAGATACAGACGAGGGGGCACCATCTACCTACACATATCTGGTACACTGACTGTGCCCATCCGTTATTCATCTCTCAACGCAGATCAACCGCACAGCCTCTTTCTTTCCCTTCCGCCCCCGTAACCACGAATCGATCCATTCACGTTGATGGCTGTCTGCGTGGACACATAGGTAGGCTCCCTGATTCGAATCATCCACCAGTCGGTCCTTTGCGAGGTTGCAAAAACGACAATTGCCACCCACCCACAACCCTTCGTACCTCTGAATCTTCCAAAGCATTTTTCCCGCTCCGCCGGATCGAGAAACATGGTGGTCTCATGTCTACGCTCTGAAATGTGCTGCGTGGCTTCATTCACGATTACGTCTGATGTGGAAGCATACGGGCATGCACAGACACTTCCATTTCCGCCACTCTTGATTTCGTATCACACGTACGTGCGCCGCCGCTCAACCTGGCTCCGCAAACGTTCTCGCACGGGCAAAGGTTTGCATTGCATGCAGCTCACCTCTGCTGCTGCTGGATTTGAGTCTTGCCGTTCATTGTGCGCTCCCGAAACAGCCAGACGGTGTATCTGCTGCCCAGGCTTCTCACGTTCAAAGGCTGGCTAGCACGTCGCGTCAGGCCTTGGCATACCTGCAATCTGGCGGCTGCTCTACGGTGTCGACAGTCCAGTTCGAGCAGACTACCTCCGTACACTGCAAGTGGTGATGTAGATGCCATCGAGCTTCCTGGACTGATGAGCAGTGGTCGAAAGGTTCTTGCAGCTCAAACGATAGTATTGTCTGCGCAAGGCCTCACATGACGTGTGCGCCGTTTACTTGTCCCGCCGCGTGGAAATGATACAATGGTGTGGTTACAATACATGTGGCAAGACGTCGAAGCTGGCGAAGCCCTTTTGTTCTCGCCCTTTCAAATGGAATGATCGATCAAACCAGGCGGCTCGAGCCTTCCACGCCTCGCAATCAGAATGCAAACGCTCAAAAAGTGCTGCCTGTCCCTTTAGCGGCTCTTTTTTGCGCCTTCCAGCTTACCAAGGAGCTGGGATCGATATGAGTCTCGTGGCGCGTGCTTCTCCACCTGTTTGTATTGATGAGAGACAGCTCGTCGACCAGCTCGCTGTAGGTGACAAAGCTCGGTCAGTTGTTTGGCCGCAAACGGGTGTGCAAGCTTGGTGCACCACTGAGACTTACGGGTACTGGATCATGAAGGGCAGCTCGAGCTCCCAAGATGCCATCAACATCGGATCCTGAAACAAAAAAATGCCAAGCATGAGCCTCTGCGACATGCATGATGCGGTTTGCATGACCAGCACATGACTTACTTCGCCATGTAATCGGGTGTACTCTGTCAGACCAATAATGACTTCTTCGACATTGTACTCATCTGATAGCGCCAGAGTAACGTCCGTCATGTTTAGCAAATTCAAGACGACCCCCCCACCTTCGACCGACAAGCACAATACTCACGCTCCTTGAGAATCAAGTTGTCGCGCACTCCAGGAAAAGGTATGGCGTCCAAAAGCTTGTCATGCGGAACCTTGCGCTGGATGACCGAGTGCCTCATGATCTCGGGCAGAGCATAAGAGCGATTCCGCTGAAAATTGTTCTGCGAATCAGAGGGGAATGTTTCAGCGGCAGCGCATGCGTTGAACGATCAAGATGCTAGGCGCACGAGATGATATATCATCTACAGTGTACAACGAGCAGAGAATGGCGTCAGACATGATTGGCCCATAATGAAGCAACTCAGGGCTGCTCACTTGCACTGCAGCCTCGGCCACATCTGAAATCTCTTGAGGCGAGCGCACACGCCCTGGCGGCACCAACGTGGCCGCATCCAATCTTGCTTTATCCGCGGCTGATATCTTGATGATTCTTTCGGTGTCAACTCCTGGCAACGTTGCGATGAAGTCGTGACGCCCAAACTGCTTCCTCTGAGCGTTCATACGATGGATGAGGTACTGCCATCTCTCGGAAGGGAAATCTGAGTCGAAATTGTGACCTTGCGGGAGCGAGGTTGCGAACGGGCTAGAATCCACCGAGGCGGATGATACAACCTCGGGCTTCTTGCTGCGGTCTCCAGACTTGTGCGCATCGAGCACAGCGAGCCCGAAAGGCGAGTCTTGTGGAGCAGTGGCATGACTAGAGGTTGATCGACTTGGCTCAGCCGTCAAAGTGATGGGTCCTTCTCCAAAGAGACCAGCCAAGAGCGCGTCGGTATCACCCATATTGAAAGAGCTCAGACATGAGCTGGTGCCTGAACTGGACGTGGCGGAGAAGCCTCCTAACCCAAAGTCTCTGGGTGTAAAGTGGTGGCCAGCGTCTGCAGAATTTGTCATCAAAGCGGGAGGAAGCGCGCTCGTAGACGCTGTCACTGGCTCCGTAAGCAGCGCGGTGCTGCCTCCCGGGCTCATTGCCCTCATTGATCCCATACTGAAGAGATCGGAAAGATTGGTGGCTTGTGGTGGAGACTTGTCCCTTGAGCTCTGAGAAGAGTCTTGAGCTGATTCAGCGCTTGCTTTGCGCTTCTTTGACACCGAGCCGTCTTTGTGGGCGGTCACGTCTGGATGCTCCTCCGCTCGAGGCTTGGGCAGGCGTGAGCTTTCTGGCAGCCCCTCAGGTGGCAGCTTAGCGTCCAAGCGCAGCTGTTTTAGAGCTTCGCTCTGGGAGAAGATGAAGCGAAGCCGTCAAAGTCAGCAAGTCAAGGTTTCGAAATCGATCCCCGCTTCACTGACCTCTTTAGCGCCAGGCCAGTGCTGCCAGCGTTCAGTCATTGCTGCGCGGCCCAGCATGGGAGCGAGCTTAGCATGTGGGGCACAAGTTAAATTGTCCCTACAGCCGACTCACTCTTCTCGCTTCGTGTGCTTATGAGCTCCTCAAGAGTGGCACGGTCCATGCCTGCTTTCTGCAGAGGACCGCCGAGCATGCTATCGCCGATGAACCCAGCAAAATTGCCAAGCATGGAACGCAAGAGGTTGTTCTCGCTCAGCAAGCCTCTGAGAGCCCATCGGAGCCTGTCCACTTGGGTGTCGTGATCCGAAGAGAGGAGCTCCACGCGAGCCTCGAGAGCTGCAAGACGAGAGGAATTCAATGGCTCCCCTCATTTCTGAAGGCGGATGATGACGATGCGACGTACCTCGGATGTACTGCTGTTTGCGCTGGCGAAATTCGCGCTGGGCGATTCTATTCTGCGCCTTGCGGTCATCCGCAGAGCTGTCGGCCGCATACAACATGGAGGGATGTCGCATCTCACCTCGAGTCAGCAAGCACATCGCGACACCTCTCAGCTAATGTGCGTTGCAGTCCAGCGTACACTCACGCCTCTATGCCGGTCGCTTTGCGCTTCTTGTTTCCAGCCACCTTTTGGCGGCCATTCGGCTTGTCATCGCCTTGCACCTCGCCATCTCGCCCTTCGTCCTGCGCGTGAAAAGAGCAGCCAAGTCTTGCAGAGTCAGGACGTGGCCTGCTTGCCTGCCGAGGGGAGCTGCAATCACGAACCACAACGTACCTCATCCGCATCCGAGTCGTCTTCTCCATCGACCTCTTCGGCTAAGTTGCGCGAGCGATCTCTGTTGCCGGTAGACGGCGGTCTCGGAGTAGGGTCGCAGTAGGATGGGAATAGGATGGAAGCTTGAGCAGGAGACATGTCTGGGGATCCCGACGCGCTCGATCTGGGATGTGAAGTGATCTTGTCTCCTGGACCCGCTGGCTGTGGACCCAGGGCCATGACAGCTGCAAAGCCAGAAGAGATGGCTGTAGCTGAAGCGTCTGTGAACCTGTCGCAAGGCGGTCTCCTCTCCTTGGTCGGAGGCATGCTTTTGGTACGGCGAGTGTTTCACTTGCCTACTGAGATTGAGGCGCGTAATTGCTGACCTGCCCCGCAGTTCCGTAAAGCAGCTACAGGTTTCCAATGCAACAATTGCGATGATGACGCCGTGACCCGAGCTCCTTCGACACCGAGTGTGACTGAGATGAGTCTGCACGCAAGCGACTATAGCGCGATGGGTGGGAGCGTCGTCATCAACTTTTGTCCAATGTGGTACGCGCAGACAGCATCGCAGTCTGCATGGGGCGGCAGGATGCAGACGGCGGGCGCTTAGAGTCTAGGGCAAGGCTCGAGCTCGAGATGAGGAGGCCGAGGAGGCTTTGATTTCAAGGAGAAGGTCGTGCGGTGCTGGGATGAGCGATTCGCCTCCGCAGCAAGACACGAAAACGAGTGCACCACTGTGACTATTGATGCGTATGGTTGTGATCCACATCGCCCCAATCTTGAACCATCACGAGTTACATGCAACCGGTGTTGCTGTTGGCAGCATATATGGCTAGCACATGGCATATG